CCCAAAACCCTCACACCCCAATCCAGGCACGCACTTTTTCATGCTTGAGCCTTGAGCCAAAATCCAGTCGCAATGCTTACATATGCGGAGCTCTGCTCTCGCCTGTGCCGAAGCAATGCTTACATATGCTGAACGTCCTGCACACCTGTGCTGTAGCAATGCTTACATATGCAGAACATCCTGCACACAAAGGCATGGTGCCCTTCTCCACTTCAGCCTTCTCAGAGGCTTCCCTTATCCCAACAGAATACTAACGCTTCTGAGGGACGTAACCCCCGCGCCACACCCCCGCCCAACCCCACCCCTCACCCCCATCCCTCCACCCCCGCCCTACCCAACGATACTACAGCGCCGCCCCAATTCCGTGTGTGTGTTTGGAGGCGGCCTCGGAAGCCGTTAAGAAACAACAAACCCTCAAGCCCTCTAAACCTTCGGAGTGAAGTGCCGAGATCGGCCCGAGAACCGGCGGGTGCGGCGCGCGGCGACCCCAGGGATGCTCTTGTCGTTGAAGGCTTAGGCTTGCAGGCTTTTGTGGGTGGGGTTTAGGATTTGGGATGTGCGGTGTGGGGTGTAGGGTTTTGGGATTAATCAGAGTCAGGATTTTCGGTCCAGAAACTCAGGCTTTGTCCTCAAGATTCTGCAGGCGTGAGCTGCAAAACGACACACGCAAGCCCGACCCTACGCACCACAAATGCCGAAACCCTGCCCTGTAATCGAGCCGCGAGATGAAGGTGATAGGGCTTTACGACCCCTTCATACTGGAACCCGAACTCCTAGACCCCAACCTTCACTAAATTGCCCGACCTCGCCCCCCTGAACCCCAGACCCTCTTCCCTCCCTCATAGCCTACATCCTGAGCTTTCACCCCCCCTTGAAATCCCAAACGCCCCTTAAGCTCCCTTCAGCCGCCCCTTAAGCCTCCTTGAGCCCCACCTTAACCCATGCAGCCTCCCTCTTACCTGGGACCCTCTTTACCTGCAGTAAAACAGGTTGTACCTACTGATCAAGGGTAGTTGCTACTAAACTGTAGGTATTACCTACAGTTTTACAGGTTATACAGTTTTACAGGTTATACCTACTCATCAAGGGTAGTTACTACTAAACTGTAGGCAAATAGAGTCCCAGGTTAACCCCAAACCCCAAACCCCCAAACCCCTAAACCTAAACCCCTAAACCTAAACCCGAAACCCTAAACCCTTAAACCACTAAACCCCGAAACCCCGAAACCCCGAAACCCCTAAACCCTAAAACCTAAACCCTAAACCCTAAACCCTAAACCCTAAACCCTAAACCTTAAACCCTGAACCCTGAACCCTGAACCTAAGCAGTGACGCGCGCAGACCCGGCGCACCACTTCGGCCCGGAGTCGCTCCCGAGACACCTTGCCCAGGGGCCGGCGCCAGGCGAGGCACTGGGGGTTGAGGTTTAGGGTTTAGGGTTTAGGGGTTTAGGGTTTAGGGTTTAGGGTTTAGGGTTCAGGGTTTGGGGTTTTGGGTTTAGGGTTTTGGGTTTAGGGTTTAGGGTTTAGGGTTTAGGGTTTAGGTTTTAGGGTTTAGGGTTTAGGGTTTATGGTCTAGGGTCTAGGGTTTAGGGTTAGGGTTTAGGGTTTAGGGTTTAGGGTTTAGGGTTTAGGGTTTAGGGTTTAGGGTTTAGGGTTTAGGGGTTAGGGTTTAGGGTTTAGGGTTTAGGGTTTAGGGTCGAGGGTTTAGGGTCTAGGGTTTAGGGTCGAGGGTTTAGGGTTTAGGGTTTAGGGTGTTGGGGGTTGCTGGGCTGAAAGAGCTTTGTAGGGTCTAGTGGGGCGTCTGTTTGGCATTTTTTTACGGTTTAGTTGATTCACTTTGGGGGTGTTTTAGGTTGAGATTATTAGGCTTTGAGCTTGCGGCTGAAGAGGGCCAGCTCCACCACGACTCCCTGGCTTCGGGCGCAGACAAGAACAGCTTGAAGCCTTCGTGTGCAGACAAGAACAGCTTGAAACAGATAGATTTCACAAGGTTTGTGAACCTTTACAAAACACTACAGGTGGACTGACCCGTACGCACCAGAATTACTTTGGGGTCTTGTTGGTTTGGGGTTCGTGGCGATCTTTGAGTTCGATGTGGGGGGGGGGGCACATACGGAGGGGAAGCTCAGATCAAGGCCAGCAATATCCCTGTCTTGTTCGGCCAATCCACAAGTGAACCCGAAGAGGGTCTGTTGGTTCACATACCCCAGTAGGGATGATCGTTTGGGATGTTCCCCCTTACACTATCACTCCTTCACAGGGATGAAAATGGGCGGGGGTAGAATCCCGATTAAGGACAGTCAGTATAAGGGGGAACATCCCAAAGGATGGTAGAAAAGAGTATGTGATCCCAATTTTTAGGGCTCATTTGGTCCCAACCTGCGCAGTGGCCCCTTTTACAGTGCCTGAATTGTGTGGGTGGGCACAACGCGTGGCCTGGTTGTTTCGGGTCTGGGGTCTGGGTGTAGGGTCTACGGTCTAGGGTCTAGGGTCTAGGGTCTAGGGTCTAGGGTTAGGGTTTAGGGTTTAGGGTTTAGGGTTTAGGGTGTAGGGTTTGGGTCTTGAGCCAATTTGAAGGTTTGGGGTGTTAGGATTTTAGGGTGTGCTACAGTGTAGGATGGCTTGACTGGGTGTCTAGGATGGGTGTCTCGGAACTCACCTTCAGCTTCAAAAAGGGGCAAGTCTTCACTACTGTCTGGACGTACCGGCTTTCTTTTGGAGGAGAGATGCTTCTGAAGTCCCAACGCAAGATCAATGGTTTGGTTTCTAGGGAACCCTTTATCAAAACCTGTCCCTAAACCCTAAACCCTCAACCCTCAACCCTAAACCCTAAACCCTAAACCCTAAACCCTAAACCCTAAACCCTAAACCCTAAACCCTAAACCCTAAACCCTAAACCCTAAACCCTAAACCCCAAGTCATCCCAAACGTACTCTTGGCCCTACTTCGACCCCAGAAGCTTGAAGTAGCACTTCGGGAGATCCATCTTGACAGGCGCAGACCAGTGGCAGGCAGGGTGGTGCTTCTTTTGTGGGGGGGACTCCCGAAATCCTCTAAGCCCTAAACCCTAGCCCTAAACCCTAGCCCTAAACCCTAAACCCGAAGCCCTAAGCCCTGAACCCTGACGTCCGCCTATAGCCAATCAAGACTGGGATCCCGGTACTCCGGCCGTACTTTGGACCTCCGAGGGAGGGTGAGAAGTCAAGTGGAAACACCGTAAGTTCCCAAGTTCCAAAGTCCCTTCCGAAAACCAGATTAAACAACGAACTCCTCACAACCTGATGTCGAGTTTCTTTGTGCAGGCCCCAAGCCAGAACTTTTCCTGCCCCTCGAAACCTTACTTGGAGGTTCATGGGGAAGGATATTATTTAGGGTTCAGGGTTCAGGGTCTGTGTGAAGCGTCGTTTCCGTGGTGTCCCAAGGCAGAAATGCGTCCACCAGGCCACGTGGATAGCAAAGCCGTCTGAGGGCCAGAACATGACTACCACGCCCCGAAGTCTTCTTAGCCCTGCCGTTGAAGCCTTGAAACACTGAACCCCCCCCCCCGCCCCCGCAACACGAAGAAGAAACATTCCCCCAAACCCCGAGCCCCTATGCAAGGATGTATTCTGAGAACCCTAAGCATTCCTCAGGGATGCGCTGTAGTAGTATCCCCATAGGGCTTTGGTTCCTTACAGATCCCCCAAACACAACAGGACACCCTGCAACCGCAACCCGAAACCTGAAAAGCCTTCAACTCTCAACCCCTAAACCCTAAACCCTGAACCCGAAACTTGTGCTCAGGACCACCACCCGCCGCGACATCCGCGCGGAGGCGGCCGCGCGGGTGAGAGGCTGGGGCTGGCGTGCAGAAGGGGTTTCTATATCCCGCTTGTCATTTATTTTTTTTTTATACAAAGCCCAAGAGGATTTTAAACATATTCTTTTTATTACGGTTCTAAGGGAGTAGCAGAAGGGGTTTGGGGCCTTTAGGTGCAGGGGTTCGGGACGGAGGGCTCCAGTGACCTGGCTCCGTACAATATATATATATATATATATGTAGGTGTATATATGTAGGTGTATATATATATATATATATATATATATATATATATATATATATATATATATATATCGATAGGAAGAAGCATCGAAAACCATTACGATCAAACAGCCGAAGTAGTCGTAGCAAGCATCTTAGTCTTATTTGCCATCATCATGATACCGTCGTCCTATTCACCGTAGTTGAGCACTTCCGCGAAGTTGGAGAAGTCAATTTCTTAAGATCCCTGGACGACGTAAGAGGCAGGACCTCAGGTTCATCTAAACCCTTAACCCTAAACCCTAAACCCTAAACCCTCAACCCTAAATCCTAAATCCTAAACCCTAAACCTTAAACCCTAAACCCTACACCCTAAACAAAGGGGTTTGAGGTTCGGAAGGCAATTGCTGCCGCTCATCTCCACAGCTTTCGCTGAGCCACAGCAGTTGCCAGTAGTCCGGTCCCTGGCACGTAGGCCTAGTGCATGAGGCTCGCCACCTCGTTCATAAACTTGGCCACGCTTTTGTACATCAGGAGTCCGATCATAGAAGTTACCTTCAGCGGGCTCTGTAGGGTCCCTTTAAGGGTTCAGGGGTTAGGGTCCCTTTTGACACTTGTGCCCCCCATTATGAGGGGGTTCATGGGTGGCTGGAGGAGAGGTACAAGTAAGGCAACCACCTGATGAGCTGCGCCTAACTTTAGCTGGGAATGCGCTTCAAGCATGGCTCGCCCGAAACCCCCGCTCCGCACTCCTGAAGTCCTGAAACCCTTAAATGCTTAAACTCAAAACCCGAAGCCCCTTGAAACTCTAAGCGCTGGTTGCGGTTCAGGGTTTAGGGTTTAGGGTTTAAAGGGTTAAATCCTGTAGGGTTTAGGGTTTAGGGTTTAGGGTTTGGGGTTTGGGGTTTAGAGTTTAGGGTAAACCCCCAAAATCCACCCTATGAAGCCGAAGCTCTGAAGCCTGGACCTGCAGGCGCAATGCGGCGGCGCGACTTAGAAGGCGCATCGGGCGCACTTAACTGATGGGAGAGGGTTTAGGGTTTGGGGTTTAGGGTTTAGGGTTTAGGGTTTCGGGGTTCAAAGGGTTGAGGCGTTCAGGGCGGAAGGGTTCGAGGGTTGAGGGGGGGGTTTGAAGGGCTGCAAGGTGTACTGAGACCCCCTCCCCCTCCCCAAGTACTCTTATGTTATGAAGATGCCCTGAATATCCCCGGCAGCGTACTTTGGGCCGCATGATGGGATGCTTTCGGAGTTCAGGTACAGCGGGGCTTGAGGGCGCCTGCGGGAATGTTTTCAACTAGGTTGGCTTTTGGGATGTCTTAGATTCACCTTTTTTGGGAAAAGAAGGGGCCCCACTCCAATGGTATTATACCAAGCCCCGCGAGCTCGCAACCCTAAACCCTTAAACCCTACACCCCAAACCCTAAACCCTAAACCCTAAACCCTAAACCCTAAACCCTAAACCCTAAACCCTAAACCCTAAACCCTAAACCCTAAACCCTAAACCCTAAACCCTAAACCCTAAACCCTAATATGGCAAGGCCGAGCTGGCCGGCCGGACGCTCGGCGCTTGCTTCGGCTCCCAGCCGCTGTAGGGTTCAGGGTTTAGGGTTTAGGGTTTAGGGTTTAGGGTTCAGGGTTTAGGGTTCAGGGTTCAGGGATGTTCAGGGTTTAGGGGTACACGGACTCATGCCGAGGCACCGACTACAGGTCACCAAGCTGATGAGTCCCGAAGCCGCCCTGGGAGGGTTGCTTGAAGCCAACCCCAAATGCTCGTGGCATCGCCCTAAAAGACAGTTTGAACAAGGTAGCTTCTGAGATAAACAAAATTCAGGGGCGTGAAAAAAGTCACTACGCAGGGTCGACTGTTTTTTTGTTGCGTCGCAACCAGCCCCGATGGCCGCGAGCCCGCGCGGCGTCATCTGAAGGCCCTGACAAAGGCCCTTTAAGAGGCTTCGAAAGGCCCGGTAGCCCATCAAGGCAATCCAGGTGCTCGTGTCATTCAAACGACCCAGTTTCTACATCCCCCTTGGGAATTATTTTCTATTTTTGTTCATATAAAACCCAAGAGGAAATTCACAACATTTTTTAAATTCAGGTTCTAAGGGGAGTGTAGGTTTGCTTCGGGTCCTGAAAGTTCACCACTCTTTGTTCGAACTGATCTCTGCTCTGGGGCCTTTCCAATGAGGCGCCGTGCGGAGGATCAGGCCTTTCCGGTTTAGGGTTTAGGGTTTAGGGTTTAGGGTTTAGGGTTTAGGGTTTAGGGTTTAGGGTTTAGGGTTTGGGGTTTCGCCTGTGCTGGGATTTCTGCCAACTCCAGGGGCAATGAGATGATGCTGAAGCCTCATAAGCCCTCAATTCCGAGCCCTGAACTCTGAACCCTGGACATCCCTGCTGCATTTTAGGGTTTAGGGTTTAGGGTTTAGGGTTTAGGGTTTAGGGTCTAGGGTTTAGGGTTTAGGGTGTTCAGTGTCTGGTGTTTGCAGCCTCCTTCAACCGTATTCCGACCGGCAGCACCCCTCAAGTCTGACATATGTGCGTTACATGAACCATCGTGCGCGACTTCAACCTCTGGTGAGATAAATCTGAAACTATGCGAGTTGTAGTCGATTGCGTGTTTCCTCTATCACACATGATCAGACAATCATGACTCCTGCAGGTTCTGATGCAGGCGAGGCGTTGTGTAGCTAGTACAGGCGCATGTCGACATCGAAGATTTGATCGGCTTTGCGTTGCATGCTTCAGGAGCATGAGCTCAAAACCATGTAGCTTTCTTTCCTTCGACCTCCGGGTGATGGTAAAGGCCCTGAACAGTGGGGTCATGCCTGGCTCTGGTTGCAAGATGCTGGCATGGCGCTCTTGCCTAAGAGCCGTGGTTGCGGCCCTGCCCTTCCTGCTAGGAAGCTCTGGCAAGCAGTCGCTCTTCGTGACGATGCGCCCCGTTTCCACAAGTCTGCAGTTCAGGATAGTGCGGGCAGCACGACAGCTCAAGGAAGGAGGTCAGAGGCCCCACATGGGCGGGGGCAGTGGTAGTGGTGGTGGTGGCGGTGGGGAAGACGCCGCTAGAGCACTGACGGCCAAGCTCTCGAAGGCCGAAAAAGCTCGAGTGATCCTCAATCTGGTCGGCAAGGAGGTGGACGGCGCGATCTTCAATCACTTCCACATGTCAGTAACATTTAATCGACTGGCCAAGTTAAGCCAGCGCCGGCAACTGCGGCCTAGAGACATGGCTAGCCCCGTTTGGCCGCGACTGGTAACCCAACTGCATGCCATGCTCAAGGACGCCATGCTCCCTGCACGACAGACGGCCAACGTGTTTTGGGCCTTAGGTGAGCTTCACAGTGAGCTTCATGGAAAAGTGCAAGGGTATGATGAGCAGCTGTTGCTGGAGTTCATGAGGCACACACAAAAAGAAGCTGGAGGCATGAACCCCCAGGAGCTCTCGAACAGCCTGTGGACAGCGGCGAATCTGCAAGATGCTGTACCGCAGGTGCTGACAGCCGTGCCAGCCATTGCATCATGTATCCCGCGCAACGTAGAAGGCATGAAGCCCCAAGAGTTGTCGAACAGCCTGTGGGCAGCTGCGACTTTGCAAGACGCTGCACCGCAGGTGCTGGCAGCGGTGCCAGCTATTGCGGAGCGCATACCGCACAAGGTGAAGGACTTCATTCCTCAACATTTATCAAACAGTTTGTGGGCAGCCGCGAAGTTAGAAGATACCGCACCACAGGTGCTGACAGCCGTGCCAGCCATTTCAGGGCTCATACCGCGCAAGGTGAAGGACTTCGGTGCTCAAGCGTTGTCGAACAGCCTGTGGGCAGCTGCGAATTTGCAAGATACCGCGCCGAAGGTGCTGACAGCGGTGCCAGCCATTGCCGAGTGCATACCGCGCAAAGTAGAAGGCATGACGCCCCAAGAGTTGTCGAACAGCCTGTGGGCAGCTGCGAATTTGCAAGATGCCGCGCCGCAGGTGCTGACAGCGGTGCCAGCCATCGCAGAGCGCATACGGCACAAGGTAGAAGGCATGAAACCCCAAGAGTTGTCGAACAGCCTGTGGGCAGCTGCGAATTTGCGAGATACCGCACCGCAGGTGCTGACAGCCGTACCAGCCATTGCAGAGCGCATACCGCACCAGGTGAAGGACTTCATCCCTCAACATTTACTGAACAGTCTGTGGGCAGCTGCGCAGTTAGAAGATATCGTACCACAGGTGCTGACAGCTGTGCCAGCCATTGCAGAGCATATGCCGCTCAAGGCATGAAACCCCCAGCAAGTTGTCCAACAGCTTGTGGGTAGATGACAGCTGTGCCCGAGCCGCGCAAGGACTTCAACCCTAAAGCGTTGTCGAGCTGCCTGTGGCCCTGGCGCCACCAGCGCCGACAGCTGTGCCAACCCTTGCAGAGCGCGTCGAGTTCTGGAACAGCCCCTGGGCAGCTGCGAATTTGCAAGATACCGCGCCGCAGGTGCTGACAGCTGTGCCAGCCATTGCCGAGCGCGCCGCACAAGGACTTCGATCCTAAACCGTTGTCGAACTGCCTGTGGGGGCAGTTCTGCCACACGTGTTGACGTACCAACCATTGCAGATCGCGTGCTGCACAAGGTAGAAGGCATGACGTCCCAAGTCTGAGCAGCCTGGAAGTTCTTGCGTGCCACTTATGTGACTTCCGCAATGTTTCGGGATGCTTGGGTTTTGAGGTTCAGGGCAGGTTGTAGTGTTGGATGTGGGGTGTGGTAGCTTTAAAGGTGTTCGGAAGATTAGGGTTTTGGGTGCTACGCTTTGACCTTAGGCGAAGGGTCGGGGGTAGCAGAGGGACCTCATGAAACAGGGTTCGGGTATTGTTCGGGTTCTAGGGCCAAGGCTCTGCAGCCTTTCCATGTGTTTCGGCCAGCGAAGCTTTTCCTGCATCTGAAAACCCCCCTATAAACACTAGACCCTAAACCCCCAAAAGCAGAACATTCAAGACAGCGCCCCAAAAGCGCACTGTTTCGAGCCGGGCGCGACCCAGCCTAGGGTTCATAGGCTATGGGGTTTAGGGCTTATAGGGCTTATAGGGCTTATAGGGCTTATAGGGCTTATAGGGCTTATAGGGTTTATAGGGTATCTTGCGGCCTTGGTTGAGGAAGGTTCGCTCTAGGAAGCTGGGCAAGGTGAGCTCTTGGTCAGCAGTCCCTTCGCCCTGAGCCCTCAACCCTCAACCCTCAAGCCCTCCACCTCTCAGACAACTCGAGGGCCCTACATCTTTCAGCCCTAGACCCCTAAGCCCTAAACCCTATGTCCCGAAGCCCCGAATCTCTGAATCCGAACCCCTGGATCCTCCCCAAAGCCACGTGCTTGAAGGCCACCGCAGAAGGCGACAACTCCTCAGAGCTCCTGCTCTGCACGCGGTGCCCTGGGCGTGCAATGGGAGATCAGGGTTTCGGGTTTAGTGCCAGTTTAGGGTTTAGGGTTTAGGATTTCGGGTTTAAGGTTTAGGGTTTAGGGCTTAGGGTTTAGGGTTTAGGGCTTAGGGTTTAGGGTTCCTGGGCATGCAATGCGAGGGCGAGGGCTTCATGGGGTCAAAGAATTCCCAGACTTAGGGTTTAAAGGGTCTTGGGGGTGGGGGGGGTCTTAGGGCTCTTAGGGGTTTAAGTGGTTTAGAGTTTTAGGGTGTCGTCTTAGGGGGTTTTAGGGGTTCAGGGTCTTGTTTGGGGGTCTTAAGGATTTAGTGTCTTAAGGGTTTGGGGCCTTAGGGGTTTAGGGTTAACTTTTGAGGGGCTTGAGGCATTCAGGTGCTCAGGGTTTTTTGGGGGGCTTCAAAGCTTTCTAGGTCTTTAGTTTTATTGGGGAGTTTTGGCGGGACTTCAGTTCAAGTTGAAGACAGGAATCGGGTTTGGGGGTTAAGGGTGGGTTTAACCGGCCGGGGAGGGGGGGAGGCGGGAGGCGGGTTCAGGCTTCAGAGGCTTCAGAGGCCATAAGGCTTCAACTCCTGGTCAGTTAAAAA